TGTGCCCACGGGCCCATGATCTTTCTGGAAAGTCCACCCTGAAAGTGCACGGAACATTGACATTCTCACAAGCTTCTGCGTTTCCCCCTATCCAAGCATTTCAGGTTTCGTCTTGGACTGGCAGGACTTGAAGGAGGAAAGTTGCTTAGAGCTTTCCTTTGACCTGGTAAGCACCGCTGTGTTGGCTTCTAGCATTTGACTTCCAGGGTCTTTAAGTACCTTCAAAGAAGAGCTGGGATGGGGCTGGTCAAGCCTTCAACAGGATCTTCTTCAAGGTGCAATAGTATATAATAATTGTATATCTAACAATCTGTAGTTTGATATACTAGCCATGCAGGTTCTGGGCTGAGAAATCGACGAGCCGGACAGGAAGCATGGCTGCCCACGCGGCCCATGGCTATTTGAATCAGATAAGACCATACACTTAAAGAGCAGCTCACGACAAAAAGGCCTTTTGAAGGCAACAGACTGCTTGTACCTATCACGTGCATTGTTCTTCCCTGAAGAGCAAGGAGTTTGACCGAGGTTTGACCAATGATGTCACTTATGCTTCTACAGTGGACACATGGTCAAGTGAGCTGCAGTTTGCAATTCTTCAAATCTAGGACTTCCTTGATGCAACACCTGTGGTTCCCTTCAGCTTCCAGCGAGATAGTTGCTTGACTCTGAGGAAGTCTAGGGTTCGGAGGCTGGCGCTTGCCAACTGAAAAGGCTTTCCTGGGCGTTGCAAGGGGTCGAAGGGAACCTTTACACGGACTCGGAAGATGCTGCCTGTTTCTCAGATTTGTCGAGCTTGATCTCAAGGTTTGACTTGGATTGTTGGCCTGGGAGGTTCGCAGGCAGAATGCCAGCTTCGAAACGCCAACAAGACTATTTTGCTCGAGAGCCCCTCATGCACTGACAGGTTGGTTGTCAGAGAGATTTGTTAAAACTCACTACAGTTGGACAAAGTCTTTGTGACCATCAGTTTGCAGCAGGTTCTTTTGTTGCAAGATGAGTTCCCAGTCACTGTTCCTGCTGCTCAACAATGTAGCTCCCATTACTCTTATAGCATCCAGTACCCCTACTGTAACAAATGAAGTGCTAAAGTTGTTTAAACGTATAGATCCGACGATCGCATCAAATTGTGGCCCCCCCTGTAATTCTGCCTGTTAAATGTCACTCTCCAGATTAGTGGATCGTAAAGCAATCCTGTGCGTAGCATGTGTTTGTGTGGCTTGACCTGGTTTGAGGTCCACGTTTGCAGGCCCTTGAGGTCCACTTCTGTTGAGCCACGTGCCAAGACCTTGGCTCCTGTGACTCCTGTGCTTCTGACTCCTGCAACGGAATGAAAGCTGTGGCTTTTGTAGATGGAGTCAACCCTTTGGAATTGCTGCCTTCCTGTGTGGGTGGCGAGGATTCATAGTTTTTTGTGCTTTGGCAACTGGTTCTGAGCTCATTAGACTTGAAGTGTAAGAGTTAAAAACACACCTAGATGTCCTTTTGTACACTTGCCTTTTCCAAGCATATACCGTAACCTCACTACCTGGCAGAGAAAACTCATCTTCCAAACCCTAGGGCACTAGGGGCCATCTTTCTTTGGGATCTACTTTCCCAGTTTGAGTCTTCTTCTGGCAATGTGCCTCACATGCACGATCACAATGTCCCATGTGCACTTGTCCACTGCGATCCGCAAGCAACGCAGCATGGGCATTGGCGCTGACAGGTGACACTTTACGGCACGCCTTTGCCAGCCAAGTGTTGCCGGACTTCCCCCTAGTCTTGCTCACTTCATTCCCAGTAAAGTAGGAGGACTTGGATTGGAGATTAACAATTCTGCTGTTTGGACTTGTCACGCCCTTTTAAGACCTCGCAGCCAAGCAGCTTCCACATATATAAAAGCCCAATTGGTGAGTGCATGCATTTGGGCACGATTTCATCGCTCATGTTCCTCCATGTTTGTTTGTACTCACGATTCGAGAGAGATTTCCTGTGTAAAGCATGTTCATGTTGCCTAACTTAGTTGACCTTCAGTATTACAATGCAGTACATTGTGCTCAAAATGACTTCTGAGATTGAGCTCTTGATTCCACTTGTTCCCAAGAAACATGTCATCAGGACATGTAGGCTGCCATGGGTAGACTGCCATGCTTTGCAGAGATCAATACAGACCAAATCGTTTCTCAACGATGTATCTCTTGTAGGTTGCCCTACTCCTGGCCATTTCCGCCTTGTCCAAAACCTCTCGTGAGTCCTCAGTCTTGCTTGGCAACTGAAGTTGTTGTTTCAGTTGTCGCACCAATTTACCGGATGCGGCCTCGTTCGCATCCAGTGACCTTACAACCAATTTCACCACCAACAAGAGTTTCCACCCTGCTTCTCGAAACTTGGAAGAGAATGACGGCTCTTCGCTGAACTTGCGAGGAGGACTGGCTGGACGCTTTGGTTTGGTCTGTGGGTTGAGCTATGACAAAAGAGTGCTTCAGCGATGAGGCGAGAAAGCTCCCTGGACAGATGCGGTGAAAGATGGCAGGTGGAAGGCGTTATGATGGCAGATGGCTCAAGGAAACACAATGGAAACACATGTTGAAGTTGAATGCAAGAAGATCAGACAAGCCACTTCCCTGTTGAGCGTTCTCAGAGCAGTTTCAACAGGACGCGTATCTATCAAAATGACCAATTTGGACACCGACTCAATTTTGCAACAAACACTATACCTGCAACTCTGAACCGTAGGACCTTTCCGGACGTGTCATCTATCGCAGTGGGTCCTGGCACCGGGAGACCTCCGTTGACCAGCGAACATGAACAGAATGGACGACGTGCGTTTCGGAGGCCTATGTTTGGGTGTGTGAAACGGGCTCCGGGTGCCATGACCCACCGCCATATGTTGCTGGCATGTTTTAGCTTGTACGTGTCACCAACTTAGCAGTTAGGATCGACCAAATCAGGGCTTTGAGTTGGAAGCACATTGGAAGCATCAGAGTTTTTCATGGCCTGAGCAAGACACGTCAGCGACTTGGCCAAGACACGTCTCACTGGGCCAAGAATTTCAATCAGATGGTTTCACACAATCATTTCCATAGAACAATATATATATAGGATATGTTTGTCGCATTGTTCCCCGAACAACAACAATCAACACGGTTATAACAGATCCTGCTGGTCTTATCACTTCTGCACAATCAGGTATCTCAGCTTCTAGAACTATTAATTATTTGTTTTGAAAAAGCTTTGGTCCGAAGAAGCTATAGAGATTTGATGGTTGATAAGGGTGTGCACTTGTATTCTTTTGTTTGGAGGGCCAGTTAATTGCACTTTTTGTCAGAACCCCCAAAGTCTACCCAAGGACACCCGTGCCTCTTCTGTTGTTTTTTTGTAACCCTATCTGAAAGGGAACAGGTTTCATTGGTAAACCTGGCAAACAAAATAGATCAACAAAAATTGGGGGCTCAGGCTCAAGGTCTTGGGAAAGGTTTGGCCACCGCCTACTGGCAGAGTGGCTGGGGTTATAGACTTTTAAAGAAACTATAGTTGTTTACCCAAGGCCTTCAATTCTGTGAAGGCTAGTTTCTTTGTGACCCTGCCTGAAAAGGAAACAGTTGCATTGGTAGACCTGAAAGGCAAACAGAATTGTGCCCTGCAGCAACCGGATAATTTTGAGGCGTTTGGTCACATTGATGCAGACATTTTGGGGTTGGCCAGCGGCCTTAGGTGCCTCGTTTTTGTAGTCGCCCTGTTTCGGATCTCTCGATTCTATAACAAATGCATGTTTCTTGTGAGCTTGATTCTATATATATATGTTTATTTCCTACCTGAGCTTATGTGCAAATTTAGGCTTTGGAAATGGTTTGTGTTGCCGTCCCCACTGAATTCTAACGGGGGATATGAAAGAACACCAGCCATCCTTTACACCGGCAGTGAGATGTTCTAACTATCTCATTCCGGCCAAAACAAGGCAAAACCCCACCATCTTGGCGGACATCCGTGCTCATGTTGGGGGCGGGAGGGAAAGACTTTCTCCACGTGACGCACGTTCTCCGCGTGTTTTTGGGCGCCGGCACCGCCATGGAGCTGGACACGGCAATCACCTTGGTCCAGCTGCCTGCCTTGGGACGACTCACAGGTGGGGCCGTTGGCAACCATTTTAGATTTTAGACCAATCATACCAATCCATTAATTGATCCCAGATCCTCCAAAACAAGATCCTGTGATTCCAAGATCCTTGACCCAGACCGGCACCAGGCCCAGTGGAAGCCATGCAGGACTGCGCGGGGGAGGATCGGATGGGCGTGTTTGTGCCCGAAAGGAGCCCGTTCACCAGTATATATGGACGACTTATCCAACAGTTTGGGCACCCTGAAGTTATGTCGGAATGAGTGCAAATCAGTTACATTGATACTGGTGTCTCAAAATCGTTTCCCTGCCCGGACTTGCTTGTATGAAAGGTAAGTGAACATCAAGTCGTTGGAGAATCCTTCATTTTGAGACATCCCGCTACCCATCATTACATCCGAGTGTGAAGCTTCGCTTGGGTGATCATTGGCGGATGGTTTTGTTAACACTTTTAGATCCAAGCTCAACGCGACAGGGAACGAGCTTTAATAGTTGCTTGGTCGAACGCTACAGGGGTCCCGTCTTCATTGGCCCAGTGGTGATGAAACCTGTGAGCTTAGCCTAAAACTACAGACTCTTGAGACCGGGGGGTTGGATCACAAGCTCAGCCCGCCAGTCGTGCTCTCCGTGACCACACGGGGTGACATTGAAACTTCCAGGCGTGACACTCTCCTCCAAAACTCTGGCCAAAGACCATAGATCGATCAGGCCAATTAATTCGAAAGCCCACGCACCCGTTCCACCTGTATTTCTGCCAATTGCTGACTCCCCCGAAAAGGGGTGCTACCCAAAAACAACCAATTCCATCGAACTCGGCGATGCCAAAATTCATCCATGAGAACTGGACCCGATTCTGACTGGGGGGATCGTCCGTGGGAGCTGGGTCGCTTGCCTTTTGCTGGCTCGGCTCAGCGCGGGGCCTGGGGCAAGAGCGCCTGGAGCAACCCTAGGCGCGAGAGCAGGACACAAGGAAGACCCTGCAAGAAGACAGGCCTTCCAAATCCTTCCAAAATCATTCCCTGATAGTCTGTGATATGTACGCATCATATATATACACATATGCACGGTACATGGAATTATATATAACTATATTGTCATGTCCATCCAAATCATCCGCCCAGGTTAAAGTTATACGTCGATCTATAGTTTTTGTGGGTCGACTTTGTGGATTTAGTTGATGTGTCCTTGGCTGATTGTACTTTGCGTTGTTGTGCTATCCGTCTCGCCCCGGATGGGACCATCCCATAGACCCCTGTGGTCAGTGTTTAGTGCGGGTGGGGGGTCATTGAGCACCTCTTCTTTGGGCCTCGAAAGTGCCATCTACCACCATGAACAGTCGGCTGATCTCATGATCAACATGAAGCTTTCTCCAAGCTGTTTGGGTGAGGCTTGGAAGCCCCGAAAGCATTTCACCTAGTTGGGTGAGGCGCTCAGAGGTCTCCATTGCGGGTTTTCCAAGCTATGAACCCCCAAGAGTAAAAGCTTTCTAACAGCAATTGCAGGTGGGTCCGCTTTTTGTATACATTATACATCTTTATAGATTGAGAAACAAAAAGAGCGCCACTAGCCGACTACATATGTTTTGCACTGCGTGGGCGCTTTGCCCATCATGTGCAGGCGAGCCTCTTTGGAACCCACCGAAAAGCTCCATGTGCGCCACGCTTTGAGTGGTGAGTTCACGCATCTCTGCCAAATTTTCAGGTGCTGAAGCATGGCAGTAAAGCGATGTAAGAAAGAAATCGTTGTCTCAAACTTACCAAACCAAACCAGCATCCAACTTGCTGTTCGCCCGGGCAGTCCGTCGAACATCGGATCATAACGCTTCGGAACTCTTTCTTCGGATCATAACGACGAACGCCAATGCTCGAGGGATCCACGGGAACCGTATCTTACCTTTGGGGAAGTGTTCGAAGACGATCGACGATGACGGTTGTTCCAATGTAGGATGGATGAAGACGACTGAAAAAAGAACAACGACAGGTCCTGTTTCAGACCAAGACTGGCGGATTTTTTTTTTGTGTTACGTCCTTGTGTTGTGTCGTTGGATACCCAGTACATTCACGGGTCAACGACAAAAGCCTCGTATTCTTTGGTGGGTCTCCCTGCACCCATTCAAACGGTTTGGTGACCCTTGCTTTTCTGCGACCCCTTCCTGGTGTCCATCCGAGGAACCCTTCCGACCACACGGCCCATCCAACGGCGCAGAGGACGAACGGCGCAGGAAGGTGGTTTAAAGGGCAGAATGCGGTTGAGGATGAGGTGTTCGTGGTGCGCAACCCCACACCTGAAAGTTTACCTGCGGATGTTGTGGTTTTTCTGTCAGACAACTGTTTTTTGGGGTGGCCGTTTGTTTGCTATTTCTTACAACTGTTCGATCAACTAACCCCACTTTCCCATATGCCCATATCCTTCGGCCAGCCACTTGTTGATGCCAATGTTGCCTCATGTGCATCTCCCATTTGGTCGGGCCCAGATCTTCGGTATCGATGGGGTGCGCAGGGTGTCATCAGGGTCTCGAGAAGATCAGGGATTTGGTTACAGGATGTTATATGTGTTTGTGTTAACATTAAGAATTACACGTGTTGGTCTTTTGGTCTAGCAGCAACATCTTCCTTTCACTGACAGAACCCTTTGCTTTGGTCGTCCCCTGCCAGCACCTTGTGGTCCTTCGAGGAGCTCCCTCCATGCGCTGGGCCCTGCTGCTCCAGCTACTCAGCTGCACTGTGAATCGGTGAGGGTCCTACCAAGACCATTTGGAAGATGTTTCTTTACAGTGACCTTGTGTGTGTGTTGTTGTTTTTTATATGTCTATGTTTTTCCGACAAGGATTCCAAAAGGGTAGGAAGAAGTGCATCCTCTTGCATTTGTTGCAATGGTCTTTTTGATGTCATTATGGGACTTCTTTAGAAGGGATGCCACGCTTATGTCCTTTTCCACATGGCTGGGGGTGAGAGGGAAGCACCTTGTGACTAGATGAGGGTTGAAGATGGTTTACGTCCTTTCTGGGTCAAAGAAGGGCCCATCACCCCATGCCAGCCCTGGCTCCCTGGCTGCAACCTTCACCTTGCTTCAGCTTGCTCCACAACTGAAGGACTCATCAGATAGACCTTGCAGAAGCGGCGGAAAGGGTTTGCCCAGCCTGAGGCTGCTCGCTAGCCTTCCAAATGGACAGGCTGAGGAGCATTGCAGCCTTCTTCAGGCGAAGACGGCCGCGGCAGCGCTTCAGGTGGAGCGGCCCTACTTCGACCTTTTGGATGCTTGGAGAACAAGGGACTGGAGCTGACCTGCCGAATCCAATGATACAAACCAGTATACAGTTACCAAAGATATATATACCTGCTTGTGCACAGGCCGCGCAGCAGCGGGATAGAAGAGGGAGAGAGAGAGAGAGAGCGCCTATGTTAATGTGGAAGGGACCAAGGCTAAGAGGTGTCCAATTATAACTCCTTAGCATGACCAAGGACCAAAAATAATCGGTGACCCCTTAGGGTGTGCTGGTATAATATATTTTACGTACTTATAAAAAGTGGATCTGGATATAAAATATATGTATTGTTTGTCTATCTACTAGTAATGACTCCAGTGTGGCTCGCAGGACCTCTTTTCCGGTGGATGAACTCTTGCAGGGCTTATGGTTCCGATAGATGGATGGTCTTGCATAGGCTTCAATGGGAGGGATGGGATGAAATGTACTCTTCATCCACTGAATGGTACTTAGTCAGGAATGACATAATGAGGGAATGGAACCTAGGGTCCCGTATGAATGGGGACCTCATTCCCCGATTCTCTAGTTTCGCGCCAGTCAGTACCACGCCTCTCCTTCGCTGAACGACTTCTTTGCTGAGATCGTGGTACCCTCCAACCCGCAACAACTGGCGCTACGCAGTGCGGTGCGACAAGGCGCTGGCAAGCACTCTCTTCCATTGGGGTGACTGGACCGGCATGGCGAATGGCGGAGGCGAAAACACGCCCCAAAGAGGGTTGGAATTCACCCCACTTGGAGAGGTCAATTCCATTCAAATCCCTAGTCCCGGGGCGGATGGGCGCTACTAATTTGTCTCAGAACTGGCAAATGTGTTCCCAATCAAGATAGCAAGCTTCATGTCGCAAAACTGCAATTGGATTCCGAAAAAGCAGCGTCGTTCCGCAAAAGTAGCGTCGTTTCTCGCTTCAAGGGGCCGATATTTCTGGTGCTATTTGACATCATTCCAAGACCATCTCAAAACGCTTGTTCTCGTCTAATCAACTGCGTTCAATCTGCCGGGGGCAGATAGACATTCATTAAACTCGATGCAACAAAAAGTGTGTAAACTCCTTGGTTGAGCAGGGAGTCATATACCGTTTGATACGAGGTCATATACCCACAGCTCCAAAAAACAAGTGCTTGGGCGTAATCCACGACAAAAACGAGTGTTTGTTTCTACGGATTTCGGTCATCAGTCCAAGCTAGGGTGACGTTGAGCAAGCCATTTGGGCGGTACAAATAATAAAACTTGAATGGATTCTGATCCTTTAATGGGGAATTGTTCATGTTGAGCAAGCCATTTGGGCGGTACAAAACAATAAAACTTGAATGGATTCTCATCCCAAATGGGGAACTGTTCACGTTCGTCATGCTTCATGTATACTCCCAGCGCCCCTGGACTTGCCAGACCCATGACCATTGAGCATCAGGGAAATGTGATTATCCCACTTGCGCGCACAACAAGAAAACGGAAGAGAGTCGCACATGAATGCTTTGGTCGGGAATGGTCCCTGAACCTCCGGACAGCATGTGTGTTTAACCGTTATATCATGATTATACATAACCGTTTAACCCTGACTCTTCATGGAACTAGCATGGAGTGTATGCGACAGGGAGATCACCCAGTCACCCATTTGCCAACACGCTGTCCAGCGGCCGCGAACACGTGGCCACGGCCCGGCTTTTGGCAGGTTGGGGTCGTTACCTCAACGAAACTGGGCACTGCCCTCGCTGCAACAGCAACCGTCACTGGGAGTCGATTAAGAAATCCTATCGGCTGAGCCTTTCTGATGAAGAAATGCAGACATTGACCTGAACATTTGGACCTATGTGTCTTTTGAGGCTTGATCAAGTGTCATCCACACTAGCTGCTAGCTGAACATACAATACAATGTACGAACCCCGCCTGACCGATTATTCTGGATTCGCAGGACATTGGTTTCGCTTGGACACGTCTCAAATTGTTGACGTTTTTTTGGTGCAGAGAACGCGAATCTTGGTGCCCCAGTCGTGGCATGAACGTCGCATCAACCCCGAGTACGTGGCGTGTGGCTCGGCGTGTAGACTGTACGACAGTATACTAAGCTGGAATTGTTGCTCCAAGGGAAGCACACCGGGTTTCAAAATAGATGATGGTTACAATTTCCTACATCACCTGAGACTCATCAAAAGGGATACTGGATACGCCAGATACCCAGTAGGTACTAGCAGAAGTGTGATAGAATTTCAGCCATGACCAGTCAACTCCACCGGTGGTTCCAGGGGATAAAGAGTTGTTTTGTTATTGCTGCTGGTGGACTTTGCATTAATGTCAACATAGGATTAACCAACCCCCCTATTAATCAAGCCCAGCTGGAGCCTCCAATAATAAACTAATTTGAACTCTGCAAACCTCCCTCTAATAATGACTTCCACCCCCCTATTAATCAAGCCCAGCTCCCCCAGACAAAAATACAATTTGTTTTATATTTATTTAGTTTTCCTTTTTTAGTATTATCAAATGGTTTTAGGTATAATTTATCCACCCTTCTCCCATGCTGACCCTCTCATTCATCAATCATTTCTGATCATTCTGCTTGCTCTTCTCATCCTTCCCAGCAGCAATCTGTGCAGCCAACCATCCCACAAAACCCCAAGAACTCTCTAGCAAAATTTGTTCATTTTCCCTTATTAAAACTCTATCAACATCTTAAGGTTTTCAAGCTCACAAAGTACCCGTCACACAGGCCCTACCATCCCCCAATAGTAGGGACCCCTCCCCCTATCAATCAAGCCCACCCTTTGGCCTCCATCTTGTTTTCCAAAAGTTCTCATGTGGTTTCCATCTCTTCCAACCCTTTCATCCCAACTCTTCCAAATACGAATTCCCTTTCATCTCAATTCTTCCAAATACTCATTCCCTTTCATCTCAATTCTTCCAAATACTAATTCCCTGTTCCTCCCAACTCTTCCAAATACTAATTCCCTTTCATCTCAATTCTTCCAAATACTCATTCCCTTTCATCCCAACTCTTCCAAAAACTAATTCCCTTTCAGCCCAATTCTTCCAAATACTAATTCCCTTGCATTCCAATTCTTCCAAATCAAGTTCCCTTTCATCATCAGGTCATCATCTGCACCCAAACCTTGTTGACCTTGAAGGGGGGGGGTTGATTAATCCTACGTCGACATTACCAGCCTCTCAGAGGTCTTCAATCTGGAAGTTCCGGCTGAATTTCGCAGCTGACCAGAGTTTTGATCTTTCCGAGTCTTTCCCAGACCTCAGTCGCAGTGTTTGCAAGATGTGGGTTTGATTGGTGACTGCACCGCGGCCAAAAACCGTGGGCTCAGGTACTGTGAAGCTGCTCTTCGGAGTGGGCCCCTTACCGGAGTGGATGAAGAATCAAAGCACAGGTGCAGCAGTGCAGCCAGGTGTTGTTATTTTTTCCGCAAGTCGCTAAGGCAGCGTTGCACCTCCCTTCCGGCCCTTCCGGCCCTTCCGGTCGGAATGGGTAATTTTGGCCAAGCGTTTGCCAGCACCACCCAGGCAAACGTGGTGGTTTATAGACCCCCCCCTGACTATTGTTTCATCCAATCACCCAACAAACTGGGTGGTGCTGTCGATCTGCGTGCTGCCTCGTGTCGAGTGTCGTGGGAACGACCTTCGGCCCGGTGTGGGTCTCTTCTGGTGTTGGTTTCTTCAGGTGGCTCGCTGTGTCGTGAAAGTGGTGAAAGAAGCCGTGAAGTTGACACATGTTTTTAAGACGTGCGTTTGAATTGGAATTCTGGAATTCAGGTATAGCTGAATTTCGATCATCAACAGCTTGGCATTCCGAACCATGTCAATCTTTGTTTGATACCGCTCAGACCTATTAGGCAGAGTGTGACATGTTCAGATATTCCAGACCTGCAGGTTTCCTGAATCTGGGGCAAAAACCAAACACAGACCCCAGACTGAGCAAATGGTCGAGAAAATTGTTGTCCATGTTGGTAACTTGTTTCTGTGAATCTCTTTACGTCAAAAGATCCACATTTGACATCTTACCTGGTTGAAGGTGTCCTCAAATTTTGACACCACGGACTCTGACAGATGAAAGAGACACGACACCCCTTCCGACCGAAAACCGCTGACCGCATCACCGGGGGCCGGGAGCGGATGTTCCGAAAGAAAGGCGGAGAGGTCAGAGGGCCAGACCAACAGCACGATCCCTTTGGTAGCGTGATTGTCCAGGTATGATGTATATATATATATGTATACCAGCACCCTCCAACAGGCTGTTAGTTGAGGGTTGTTGGACCCTAACAGGTCTCAATTGGTGACCTGTCGGAGGGTCCTGGTAGTGGTATCTATACATATATGCCTAGATTGACTGAAACCATTGCAATGTATACAAATATGGCATACATGGAGTGGAGTGTTTGGGTAATGACCCAAAATGTCTTTGTGCCGTAAGGGCCATCGAATCACATGTGAAAAAACAACACCCTTACCGGGAGGATTTTCAGTTCTGGTTTACGCAGTCAATGCTGATCTTCTGGATTGGTTGTCCATCTCAAGAAGCTTCTATCAGTTCCTGTTGATGCAGGAATTGCTTGGGTGATTCAGGGACCCTCTCTCCCGCAAATTTTGGACATGGACAACATGTGGTGTCCAGCAGGAAAGGCATTTTCCATGGGGTCATGCCATTTACTTCCCATGATATTGATAGAGTGCAGTTTGAGAGCTTTGAGTTTCCTAGTAGTTTCAAGACGACTCCTCCCAGTGAGAATGGTTTTCAGGTGAAAGAGAGAAGGATCTGGCAGTGCTGCCCATCGTAGCGGATGAGTACCACTCCCTGACTGAGAAGATCAGGACGGTCCTGACAGAACGACATGGACACTGCATGACCGGATCCTCCAGGTTAGATGATGTGTAGCACTCGCTGGATGACCGGGTGCTGGTTAGATGAAAACCCGAAGGGTATGCGCCAACGATGTAGCCATGATGTAGGGGAAGATGAAATGGCAACGAGAATGCAACTGAAATGCCTTATAAAGGACCGGTGTTTGTTGCTCGCATGGAACATCATGGGGCGACCTACGGCGCTGGAAAACCCTCATCCTTCCCTCAAAAGCAGGGTTCCAGTTTAAATGCGCTTAAAGCAGGTATGTACTAGTAAATGTATATGAACCAGCGCCTCCGAATGGTTTACGACCTGAAATTGTACCATGGCACACCTTTGTGCTGGCTGAAAACCTCCAAGCCTCCAAATACGCTGACCGTGCCAGTTTGTGGGCTGCAATGGGTATAGGTAGTTGCAAAGACATGGGCAGGACCCCATCTGATTGGCGGGTATAGGAAGAGCAGGAACAATGATGTTGGAAGAGCTCAGAGCTCTGGTCGAGTTCTCTCTTGAGGAGCACACAGTGGACACGATTTAATATCCAGAGATGAAAATGACTCTTGCAGCACTCGAGTCATTGCAATGCAAGCGAGCACTTGAACATGGCCACACACAGGTGACATGCGACCCTGGCACGACTTTTTGCTTTTGTTCCGGCATTCGTTCTGACATTTGACCTTGCATCTATTCTGGCGTTTTGTCTGGATGTACTTTGATATGTAAAATTTGGCATTCTTTCTGCCATGCACTCTGACATTCTTTCTGGCATGTACTGGGCACTGGCACTGGGACATTCTATTTGGAATGGCATGTGTTCGGGTCCATGCGTGCCCAGACTGAGCTGGCCTATAATGTTCAAGCTAGAACTCGCTATGACATCTGGGTCCGTTGGTGCCCACAGTGACGACGAGCTGGAGGAGGAGGATGAGGAAGGAAGGAAGACAGGGAGGGAAAGGAAGGGAAGGGAAGGGAAGGGAAGGGAAGGGAAGGGAAGGGA